GAAATGGAAGATTGGGTCAACTCTACCCAATACACATGACTGAACGTGGGGCATTGGTTTCCCAAAAGGATATTAGAGATGTTCTAGCCAGAAGTAAATAGGAACTGCCGAACAGTTGGGCCTCATTGTGACTGGAACAGTTGGGATCCAAGAGTTCACTCGGGATTTGAGGTAGCCCTATGACTGTCCCTTCTTTACCCTCTCAGCTACAGCCATCAGGGATTGTCCTCTAGGCTTCCCTGCTAATGTAGTGCAGCTGTTCTCTGCTGTTCTCTAACATTTGACTGCTGATTCCATGGCAGCTGCTGCTCATATGGCCTCTCTTACTTACATTTGATTCCTCAAGAAAGAGAATACTATGTGTCCAGTTATTCCACTCAGTCTTCATGCCAGGCCAGCTACCTGTGGTCCAGCCATCCAAGGTACTCATGTGGCACAGATGAGGCCACCTATGGGAAAGAAGTAACTAGAGCCAGTTGTCTCAGAATATGTTTAAAGGCAGAATAAGAGCTTGCAAAGGAAAGCTCTTTCTCTCTAATTCTGGAAGAGTGCAGCAATTCATAAACGGGAAAGTGTGCCGAGCATTCATCGATTCAAGCGCTCTACCCAGGCGAGTTCATTTCTAAGACAGATGGCTGTTTTCTTTTTGTCTTTCTTGTTGTGTGTCTGTGACGGTCATTGTATCTGTACTCACATCCTGATTAATGTGAAGCCCCTGTCTCATTCCTCCCTCTTCCTGTGCTCTCTACTTCTCTGTTTACATCGGCGTGTGAAATCCTTGTTCCTGCAAAATGGAAATGGGTGGTAACAGATAAGTGTATTTAAAAGAACATTTGTCAGTGTTGCCCTAAAAAATTGTTTGCATACCTTAACAATTCCATCTTTACCCGTCCCTAGGAACAGAAATTATAGAACTTTTAATAGTGGCTTTTAAAAGGCTGAATCATCTTTATGGCCCAGACGTTGCTTAATTGATTTCGATTGTTCTTTAGTATAAGTCCATTCTTCCTTGCTGTGGGTGTGTGTGTGTGTGTGTGTGTGTGTGTGTGTGTGTGTGTGTGTGTACACAAGTGCACGCTCACAGGCCCGATAGGGTGGGGAACAACATTTCCTCGGAAGAATCTCTCCTGCACTTGAGTCAGGTAGGCTCCGGTCATTAAGTCCCAGTAACTTCAACTTTTAACCTTTGGTGGGAGATCTGTTTTTTGTCTTGTTAATTTGTCTTGTCGACCCTCTTTTCTGGCTTATCTCCAATTTATCCCCATCTTTCCAGAAATGCTAAAACCAAAACAGCACATTTCACTCTAATGAAGATTCATCTGGTACCAAACATGGCTGGAGGAGTCATTTCACCCCTCTGTTATCTCTGGGACTTATGAACTGCATTAGTTGTGCTGCTTTATAATTGACTTTAACATGATAGCCCAAGTTGCAATTGAGTCACAATCTACATGCTCCACCAGCTCCTGCATAGCTGGTGAAATTGTGTCAAACAATTTTATGTGGCATATTTAAAGCCTGTCAATCTATTGCCATTGTCCATATTGGAGGCCAACTTCTGATTCACTCTTTTGAGTCAATATTTTTCTATGAGTTAGTTTATACCTTCCAAAGACTTAGCATTTGTAATATGCAACTTGATGTAATATGCACGCATAAGTCATCCATTTTAACTCCCAAATTTTTGAAAGCATTTTATAGTATGTGAATTAGAACTTAGCCTCATGTTTCTCACTGGATAGTTGACTTGTTAGGTTCTGAACCATTAGAGTCAGCAGGGCTGTGATAATAAATATAGCAGCAATCAACACCCTGGCTATGGTCCTCGTATTTGAGGTTGTCACCTGGTACATAAAGTCCTTGCAAAGTCAGCTATATAAGACTGAGCTGATATGCACAGTGTTGGTTTCTAGTACATAGTGAGCATGGTCTGAGTGTTTGTGATCATTCTTGTTTTCTTACAATCATTTAACTCATTTTTACATTTGTAGGAATGTAGAGGAGTCACCCATTGCACTCTCCTTAGTTTCTAAGATTTCATCTTTATTAAGCTCCTCCTATTTTGGAATTTATTAAAATATACTTTTCCAAAGTTCACTTCGATAAGAATTTGTTAGAAACTTCCTCTACCTTTCTTTAGAGGAGACCCAAAAGTTAGAAGCATCATGTAGCATTGTGACTATCACTTACTCTAAACACTTAGTTAGTCATTGCCTCTAAGAACCTTATAAGAAGGGTGTTTGCCTTAATTCTACTTCAGTCTAGCATTGTTTTCCAACATTCCCAAGGAGAGGGTGATTTTATAGGACAATGTTGTCCAATGGAAGTATAATGTGAGCCACAAATGCAAGCCACATTTGTATTTAAAAAATTCTTGATATACACAATAACAAGGAAAAATAGGTAAAACTAATTTTATTAATATATTTGATTTAACTCAACATATCTCAATATTGTTATTTCAGCATATTAATCTAAAAATATTAATGAAATATTTTCTTGATACCAAGTTTTCAAAATCTGGTGTGTATTTAAATTCATAGCACACCTCAATTTGGACTGGTCACATTTCAAATGACCACTAAGCACATGTGGCTGTTGGTTTGCATTTTGGACAGTACAGGTCTAGAAGGGTAAGAGTCTCCATTAGCAACAGATCTTGACCCAGTGAACCTTATCCAGAAGAACTGAGGCATGTTAACATTCTCATGAATCTTGGTTGCCTCATATGGGAGTTTACTCATTGCCATCTATGTTTTAAGCATGGTGGTGGTCATGGGCACAGTGGGGTCTTACCATAATAATCTCTTTTAAAAAAACTTTCATCTTAACTCTTTTTATGATCTCTAAAAAGTATAAGAGAAGAATATAAGATCATTATAAAGAAAAGGACACTATCTCTTTTTTTAATCTTTTTTTTAAAAAAAATATCTTTATTGATTTCAGAGAGAGAAAGGGAGAGGGAGAGAGAAAGATAGAAACATCAATGATGAGAGGGTCATTGGTCGGCTGCCTCCTGTACACCCTTACTGAGGATCTTGCCCGCAACCCAGGCATGTGCCCTGACCAGGAATTGAAAAGGGATCTCCTGGATCATAGGTCGACGCTCCACCACTGAGCCACGCTGGTCAGGCCAACATCTCTGTTTTCCCTTGTGTCTCCTAAACCACCTATATTTTGAAATGCATAATCATTGGTCAGATCCTACAATTACCAATAACACAATGATTTCAAATAAACTCTCTTGTCTCTCCCACTAGCTTCCTGTTTGCTTTATTATTTCACTGAAACATTTCAGATGCATGTTAATCATCCTTTCTTTTATTTTACTTCAATAACTTCTCAGTTCTGTGGTGGTTTATTTCATGCTACTGCGTTCTTCCAACTCTGAATCAATGTGTACTCCAGGCAGTAACTCACTTTAGCTCCAGATGAGATCTCTCCCTTGAGAATGTCTTCAGAAAGGATGGAAGCTTTGCAGTGTCAGGAAATTCATGAGAAATAAAAAGAAATGAAGTTACAAAGCAGACACTAGGAGTAAAGAAATAGCAATGATCAATGGTGGGGCAAATGTGCCTATCAAAATGAAACAAGTGGAGAGAATTGTCAAAGTGTGAGGCTGCCACCTCACGCTCCTTGCCAAAGGACTACAAGAACCAGCCAAGCCTCCCTTAATTGAATAAAATGACAATCAGCCATGGTACTGAAACAAAGATGATTTTTATAAATAGGGTTGATAGCAAGATTTTTCCAACTTCTGATTGCTATCTGGCTGTGGTTCCACCCTTAGAAAAATTTGGTCCTCAGTGTGCCAAATTCAGAAGTTGATTTTGCCCAACTTGTTGCCGCCATATTTTCAGAATCTCTTAAAATAGAATTGAATCATAATTTAGAGAAAGGATCCAACATGCAAAAATGGATGGGCACATAAGATAAGGCCAAGTCTCTGAGATGCATTTGCCCCATGAATAGTGAAATCTCTCTTAGATCCAAAAATGGTTCTGAAGCACAGCTTTTGAAATTGAAGTAAGAGTGAAGTCTCTTCTCATAGTAGTTTGCTTTTGGGAAATGGAAATATTAGATGCTTGTTAGCTCTGTCAGTTTGGTGCTCCATCCCCAAGGAAAATTCTGTCTTCTCTACCATGCTGTGTGACAATCTCATTTTCTCTCTCTCTCTCTTTCACACACACACACACACACACACACTTCAGCATTTGAATCAACACTACATGGTATATTGTTGATGCCACCTCAGCCCTGGCTCAGTGACTAGCACAGGACGAAAGCCCAGCACATGTGTGTGGCTTCAACAAATGCTAGCTTTGACTTGACACTGTGGTGTCAGGGTAGTCTGAGCCGAGAACAAAGTGCCCAGAGCCTGGCTGGCATGGCCCTGGACATCTTCGTCTTGGCAGCGTGACTGGTTTGCTGGCAGGGATATTTCCCGAGCCAGCAGTGCGTGTGGGCACCAGTGGGAGACGCTTTTTAGAGCGTCACATGATAAAATTGGCAAAATAGTCATTGTGAAAGCTGGAAGGTGGGTACATGAGAGCTTATTATGCTCTTCTCTCTAAGCATTTCCATAATATAAAGTTTTAAGAAAATTATATGAACAGAAGTGGGGTGCTCTTAGCATCCTATAAGCACAACAGGCCCTAAATGGAAGCAAAGTCCACGGCCATAGTTGAGGCCAGAGCAGGGTTAAAGGGGGTGAAGACTAAAGGCTCATGTCCCTAATTTAATGAGGAAACATCTGTGCAGGTGCTTCATAAACTGTCCACCTCTGCAGACCCACATGGGGCTTTTCCTCAGTTACTAATACAAACATTGTTTCCTCAGGAATGAGGCCATTTTCCAATCTTTTGTGCAATAAGGGAGTTGAACTTCCTTCCCATCAGGCAGCTCCGAGCCACTGAAGTGATTCCTTCTGCACACAGCCTTCCCTTTGACACCCTCCCTTTAAGACATGCTGGTTTTCTCCCGTCTGCCTCTCACCCCAGACGCTGAAGGACGCCAGCGACAACGCGCGCAAGGACTTCCACCGCGAGGCCGAGCTGCTCACCAACCTGCAGCACGAGCACATCGTCAAGTTCTACGGCGTCTGCGTGGAGGGCGACCCGCTCATCATGGTCTTTGAGTACATGAAGCACGGGGACCTCAACAAGTTCCTCAGGTACAGTGGGCGGCGAGGGGCGAGGCAGGAGTGGGCTCCGGGTGCGCAGGCCCTGTGGCTCAGGCGGCCTGGAGGTGCCTCCAAGGCCACGTCTGCCTCCAACATGCTGTTTTCTTTCCAAGGGAGCTGACCCTCAGCTTCAAAGGATTGGCAAAGTGCTGCCTGCGATTTCTTGGTAGATGGTGTAATTTAGGAGAAGCAGGAACGATGGGAGGGGCAGGTGACCGATTTGCACCTGCTCTTGCTGGCCTCAGTTTCCTTATGTTTAAAAGGGGTATGATAATATGGACATTAAGGACTAGTGTGATGGGAGGGAATAGTCAGCACTATTGTGATGGGAGGGAATCAATAAATGTTGTCCCCACACCCTTCTTCCCTGCCACATTTTCCTGGCATGTTTATTGTACTTTCTATGTTATGGCAGCGCCTACGCCTCTGCTCGCCTCTGGTTTCTGTGGGCGCTGAAGAGGGCTTCCCACTGCAATCAGCTCCAGTGGCTTCATGCAGCCGCTGGAAGATCCAGGAACTGTGCAGTCTAAGCAATACGCCAGCTGCTGAGGGAGCCGTGGAAGGGGGAGAGCTTGTTGCTGTGTTTGGAAATGCAGTCATGTGACCATCTGATCCCTTTCACCATCTCCTGCCTCATGAATACACGTGTGGCTTCGTTGTCCTGGCTGGGATGAGCCCCTCTCTCTGCTTTGCCTCTAACTGTGTGGGTGACGGAATGGCAGGCGAGGTTAGGAATATGGGGCCAGCTCATGGTGTTCAGAGACAATCGCCCTAAGCGTGCAATAGCCAATGTCAGCAAAGTTTTTCTTGCAGGTGATAGGACAGTGGGTGATGGCAGCTTCCACACATTGTCTCGTCTTTCGGACCTAATGGGAAAGGAGAAGAAGGAGCTGAATTTGGTTGAGGTCTAGCTGCTCATAGGAGAAATATTTTTTCCTTGGCCCCATGCTCTAGGCTACTTCTTTAATTAAAAATGGTGTTTTCCAAAAACTGTAACATAATAAATTCACACATATCTACCTGGATGCGATTAAATGCTTCTGAGAGCTCAGACTGTGCTTGTGCATATAAGCATGCACCTGTGTGTGTGTGTGTGTGTGTGTGTGTGCGCGCACGCGCGCGCGTGTATGTGCGTGTGTTGATTCTTTCCTTTTCGGCACCATCACCCTCTCCCTAGCCCTCCTTCCTGCCTTCCAGAAAGAGCAGGCACCTGGTTCTTCCTTGGCATTTTGCTCAGGGAGCGAAGCTATTGGAAACCTCCTCTGCTCAATTTCAGAACCTGCTGAACTCTGGGAACGAGAGGTTTCCCACGCCAAGAATCAGGTTCTCAGGTGCAACACGGTGCTGTGATCTGTCTATCCTCTCTCTCTGGAAGGGAACCCAGCCCTTACACTGCCATGCCTGTGTCCCCAAGTGCCATCAGCACTGCCTGTGAAGACAGATGCCTACAGCTATCTCCCCATCCTTTTCATTCAGCCAAAGGGCATCCATTCAGCAGCAACGTGGTCAGGCCCTATGCTAGGTCGGCTGGGAAACGAAGAGTAAAACACAGACCTTGCTTTCCAGGAGATCAGAGTTTCTCTCTTAAGATCTTTCCAGAATTCCCTTCTAATGAGGAGAAGGTAAAGAAGGCTTTTTCAAGCAGTAAGAACTAATATTTATTGAGCCTTTCTAAGCATTTTAAGTGTTATAACTCACTTTATAAACTATTATTGCCATCATTCCCATTTTGCAATTCAAGAAACTGAGTTGTACAGCTAGTGGGTGACAGGGCTGGGATTCAAACCCATAGCCTCTGGCTGCAAAACCCATAGTTTTCTACCACTGCAGTACTTCTCCTGGAGGCGGCTGCTAAAAAATCAGAAGGAAAGTGGTGTGCTACAGAATTCCAGAGCCAGACAGTGTGACTAAGGGCCAACTAACCCACATGGAGAGATTACAAGCCGAGGAAGGGTGAGCAGCCTCCCTGGTCAGAAGCGCCCTGAATCTTCCTGCTCTTCACGCTAGGTGTGTGTGTGTGTGTGTGTGTGTGTGTGTGATGGTACTTTTTCCCTCTTAAAGCATGTTCTCCTGGAAGAGATGAGATATGTTTATTTCCAAGAGCTGCAGGGTAATCTGGGGAGTGAAACAGAGGGCTGTTGTGCTAACTTTATTTATACTCTTCTTAAGAACTTGTTTAGAAGACTCACCTGCCCTCTAAACAAGTTCTCTGTTTACAGCAGGACTTTCTGCTCAAGGGAAGCATCCAGAGGCTTCTCCCACTAGAAGGAGCCTTGTTCAAATACCTAGAAGGAAGCAGGAGGCTGCCCCACCCCAAACATAGTAGTTCAGAGTGCAGGAGGCTTCCGAGGGCTGCCAGCTTTATGGAGCCTTCTGAGTGTGAGGCTGGAGGCTGGGGTTTTGTGTGGAGGTGGCCTTTTGCACTGGCCTCTAATAGTTCCTTTTCCCTGGAGATTTTGCAATGGACAGATTCTTAGAGGAGTCTAGCTAGGCTGTAGCAAATCAACAACTTATTCCACTCTTTGCACTAAATCTATGAATATTTCATCCTGGCCTAGATTCTCTGGGTATTTCAGGGTTTCTCATAGTTTATGTGCTCCCCTAGGTCCTTCTCCTGGTTTGAAGGTCACCTAAGAGCTTTGTCTCCTATGATGAGTGAAAACATTCTCATTTTCCCCTGCCTCTTAGTGCTGGGAAATGTTAGGCTTGAATAATCCTTAGTGAGGTGAGAAGGGCCAGCCCTGTGGAATCCCAAGGATGCCGTCACAGGCCAATCACAAAAAAGAAATGCCCAAAGGATAAGCTGTGTTGTCATGTCACCTCTCCATTTGTTTTTTAAAGAGTATCTTTGTTTGCAAGATTTTCTCTGTTTTTTTTTTTTTTGTGTTTTTTTTTATTAAATTTATTGGGGTGGCATTGCTTAATAAAATTATATAGGTTTCAAATGTACAATTTGATAATACACCATCTGTATATTGAATTGCCTGTTTATCACTCGAAGTCAGATCTTCTTCTGTCACCCTATATTTGACCCCCTTTACTCTTTATAAAGGTTAAAGGAGGTAAAAACATTAAAAAAGAGAAGACACCAGCTACTGCAATTTGGAAATGGACTTACAGCGTAAATAGGGGTAATTCGTGACAACAAACACATAGAAAGGGAGGGGCAAAGGTCTCTGGCTTTTTGACGAAAGGCCACAAAGCACCATAAATGGAGGAACAGTTCCAATTGTTCCTCCCTCGGTGCACTGAGGAAGGCGAAGCAGTATCTCCGCTTTACAGAGCGGGGAGGCAGGTCCAGAGAGATCTGTAGCTCACCCAAGGTAATAGCTAGTGTGTTAGGTCAGGACTCAGATTCAGTTCTGATCCCAGAGCCTCGCCCACTGCACTGTGAGGCTTTTTGCTCCAGCGAGAGGTTTTGAGCTGAAGAGATCTACCAGGCATTTCCCCTGCACTGCTCTTCAGTGTGACAAGAGGAGGTCGGGGGCTGTGGTTGGAGTGGAGGTGAAATAAGTGTGTGAGGACTCGCCTTGTGCAAAAACAGGAAGCTCCTCCCTAGGAATGGTACAATCGGATATTTAGAGATAGAGGGCACCTAAATGGTCACACAGCACAATATCCTTTTGTATTTCTGACTAATGGGGAAATCATACACCGGAAAAGTTGAAAGCCTTCCCGAGATCATAGTGCTAGACACCCCGGAGACTGGGAAACTCCCCACCTTCTTGTCCAGTGCTTATTCTCTGAAAATCAAGAATGAAAGATCAGGTGGCAGCACGGTTTGGAAATCAAGGGAACAGGGGATCACTGCTGGCTGGAGCCATGAGAGAGGGGAATAAATGCCTATGCTTGAAATAGCTTATCCCATCTGAGGTGGCGCTGGCGGGTGAGGGGAGGGGCGACACCAGATGGGGGTTCTTGGAGAATTCTGGCTCCCTCATTTTCAAATACTCATACAGCTCTGGCACCCTGCAGGTATATTCACCACTTTAAAATTCACTTAAAATCCTCTATATTTATTTAAGTACTTCAAGCTGTCTAGAAAGAGATGTCATTGGCACTGACTTTGGAAGGGTGAAGCCCTTTGACCGCACTTTTACTGCTTGCCCTGCAGCACCTCCTCAGGGCAGTGACACCAATCTTGGCTCACCACACAGGGTTCCAGAGGGGACACTGGGCATGCATCTTAAAACTGGGACCCTCCCCTTCAAAAACATCTATCAATGTCACAATGCCTTAAATCAGCGATTTTCAACAGGTGTGCCGTGGCAAGCATACTGGTGTGCTGCAATAATTTTTAAAACATGCAATACCTGACTATTTAGTCAAAGTCACTGTTTTTGTCAGATCAGAAAAAATATAATATTTTTTTGGTGTGCCCCAGAATTTTAGTAATTAGTTTATGTGCCATGAGATGAAAAAAGTTGAAGATCACTGCCTTAAATTCATTCCACAGCTAGGAAAAGGCTGGTGTGTAAGATAGGAGAAAGAGAAGATATGAAATATCATACTCTACTCCTCCCCCCCAAAAAGTGTAAAGAATGAAACTTACACAATAAAGGAATAAATGTGTAGTCATTCAAAGGAGCTCTCCTATGTGGTGGCCAGTGCAGGAGTTGAGCTGGAGGTCAGGGGGAGGGGTGGGTACAAGGAGATGGTATTGTTCACAGGGAATGAATGTCCAGGCTAAGGACACCCTGGGATTCTGCTGGAATGGGCTTGCAGAAGATGAGGCCCAACTGCAGAGGAGGTGGAATTGGAAAGACCAGAGATGCCAGCTCTGGCCCTGGTGGGGCACTCTGAGAGGTCGGCCTGGGTGCAGGGTGCTTGGCTGCAACGTGGCTGGGCGGGGTAGGGGGCGGAGGACTCAGTGCTCCATTGCTCTAGGAGAGCCAAACTCTCCTTCTTTATTTTGATTTTGTTGTTTGTTTTACTTCAGCTACCTACTGCTTTTCAGGGTCAGAGGTTCTGGCCAGTGCTTGACCCCAGCATACTTCTGAAGCCCCTAAAACATGAACCTGTCTGTATGCTGGGGGCGGGGGGCACCATTCAGGCCCACAAGGCCCTGGGAATTCTAGACTCTCTGGGAACTGAAGCCTGGGTGTTTCTGAAGTATAACTGTGGGTGAGGCATCTTTCCCTCCTCTTTATGCTAAGTCAGGCAGCGCCTTTTAGCACCAGCAGCTGATGGGTGGCAGAGGGCCCCTCCAGGCAAAGAACTCCAGCTCCACTGACTCCTTCTGTGTCCTCTGCAGGGCACACGGACCCGACGCCGGGCTGATGGCTGAAGGCAACCCGCCGACGGAGCTGACGCAGTCGCAGATGCTGCACATCGCCCAGCAGATCGCCGCGGGCATGGTCTACCTGGCGTCCCAGCACTTCGTGCACCGAGACCTGGCCACCCGCAACTGCCTGGTCGGCGAGAACCTGCTGGTGAAAATCGGGGACTTTGGCATGTCCCGGGATGTGTACAGCACTGACTACTACAGGGTGAGTGGCTGTGCCCACCAGGAGACCCCAGGGCCCTGCTTCCCTGGGAGTCCCTGATTGTATTATTTGCTAGGGCTGACGTAACAAAGTACCAAGGACTAAGTGACTTAAACAACTGAAGTTTATTTTCTCAAAGTCCCAGATTAAAGTGACTGCAGGGTTGGTTTATTCTAAGGTTTTTGTCCTTGACTTGCAGATGTGCTGTCCTTCTGTGTCCTCACATGCACAGCCCTGGGGTCTCTCTGTGTGTCTGAATTCCCTCTTCTTATGAGAACACCAGTCAGGCTGGATTAGGGCCACACTTTAACTCAGTCACCTCTTTAAGGCCTTGTCTCCAAGACCAGCCATATTCTGAGATACCAGGGATTAAGGCTTCAACACATAAATCTGGGGAGAGCACAGTTCTGTCCACAGCACCTACGCTGCTCTTTCCAGAGCAGTGTGTGATATGTCGGTGAAGACAGTCCTCAGCCTGGGGATTTTGCCTGGGAGACCTGAGGGCTTGGGGAAATTCCTGGAGGACATCAGGTGAAAGGATTTTGAGGTTTGCACTTCATTCTGTGAAATTATGTCTGGAGCCTTTGTTTGAGGTCTGCCCTAAAATGAACTTATTCATAGAAATCATAGTACCCCAGACCTTGGAAGCTCGCACACAGAACCATCTTGGTGGAAAGCGAATTAGCTAGTGGCCATTTGGTGACGTACAAGAAGCTCCATCCCACCTATTTCTGAAAAGCCCCGCCCAGCCCGCCGGGGTCCCAGCATCGGAAGCACTAAGGGGTAGAGTTACAGACAATAATTTAAATCCACCGATTACCAGGATTTGGCCCCTTTGGCTTGTTAGATTTGTTAACTGAGACCTTGGGACTTGAGAAACCTTGAAGTCATGATATTAAAAGTGAAGGTTCATGTGGTGTTCCACCACCTGAAACCCTCAGTTCAGTTTTCTTGCTTTTCTGGAATTTCAGGGGGAAAAGAAGAGAATGGGAAGGGAAAGGAATAAATGTGCCCTATGTAGATAGCCTAAGAGGGTAAAACGTGTAGCCCGACTAACTTTCGTAATAAGGTAGGACTGGCAAAGAAAATGCCTCTCCTTACTTTTGCTCCTCCCTTTATGATGTATTTTGAGAAGGAGCCTTCTAGTTTGTCTCTTATAATTTGCACTGCGGTCTCACTCCCCTCCAATGCCTCTGCATTTAGCTGAGCCAATTTTGCTACAATTAGTCTAAGACAGCGTTTTTCAACCCATGTGCTTGACTAGTTAGTCATGGGCACTGACCTTTTTTCCCTTAGATTGTCGAATAAAAAAATGACAACAGCCAACACAGTGATAGCTGTCTGGTATGAATGAGTCAAAGTTATATCTATTTTATTGTCAGATGTGCAAAAAATATATTTTTTGGTGTGCCGCAGAATTTCAGTAATTAGTGTATGTGCCATGAGATGAAAAAGGTTGAAAATCACTGGTCTAAGACAATGAATCCACTGCCTTGCTATATATTCTTCTGTGATTGTTTTGTGGGTATGTTTTTCTTTGTCACCTCCCTAAGCATTGTCTACATTTTATGGATCAAGAAGGAGTGGAGATCAAATTGAAAAGACTTTCTTGGGTGTATTTATAGAAAACATGAGCATAGTTTCAACTTCAGGTATTCAACATTGAGCTTCAAATCACCTGTCCTGAGTCAACGGATGACTGGTTTGTTCTAGATATCTAAAATGAGGGAGGGTGTTTATTACCAATGGGTGCATCTCCTCTGTTAGCTCTGCTTCCCTGGTGGGAGGTGGGGATGGGGGTGTCTCCCTTGTCTCAGGAGAAAAAGAAACACATGGTGCTTCCCTAAGGGAAAGCTTTGCTGATCTTGATGAGCATGTGGGAGAAACATGTGGCTCAAGCAAAAGCTTTCTCTTTAGCAGTAAGTTAACCAAGTTCTCAGAGTGCCTGGCACAAAATAAGTGCCTAATAAATGTTTTCAACCATGTCATTATCCAAATCGATTATCCACCCAATTAAAAAATTGGCAAAGGATTGAAGTAGAGATGTCTCCAAAGAAAATATACAAATGGTCCAATAAGCACATAAATCGATGCTCAATATCATTAGTCATTAGGGAAATGTAAATCAAAACCACAATGAGATACCACTTTATACCCCCTGGGATGGCTGTCATAAAAAGACAGGGAAAAACAAGTGTTAACAAGGATGTGGAGAAATTGGAACCCTCATAAACTGCTGGTGGGATTGTAAAATGGTGCAGCTGCTTTGGAAAACAGTTTGGCAGTTTCTCGAAATGTTCAGCAGAGAGTCACCACGTAACCCGGCAACTTCACCCGTAGGTATATACCCAAGAGAACTGGAATCATATGTTCATGCAAAAACTTACACACAGATGAAATAGCATTATTCATAATAGCTATAAAGTGAAAACAGTTTGTGTCCATCAACTGATGAATAGATAAAAATATCGTAATTTATATAGTGAGATATTACTTATTACTTAAAAGGAATGAAGCACTGATTCATGCTATAACACAGATGAACCTTGGAAACATTATGGGGAGTGAAAGAAGCCAGGCACAAAAGATCACATATTACATGATTTCATTTCTAGAAAATGTCCAGAATAGGCAAATTTATAGAGGTAGAAAGTAGATTAGTAGTTGCCAGGGGCTGACAGCTACTGGATATGGAGTTCCCCTTTGGGGTGATAAAAATGTTCTAGAACTGTATAGCGGCTGTTGAGTATATTTGCAAATACACTAAAAACTATTGAATGTGTACATTAAAAGGGTAAATATTATGGCATATAAATTATACCCCGATTTCTAAAAACCTGAAAAAGGAAAATACTAGCAAGATGGCGACATTGGACCTAAGGAGTCAGTCTTGGTCATTTATAAAAATACTGTCACTTTGTCATCTACCGTATTTGAACATTTGTTAAAAAGAACCCCCCACCCCACACTTAGATGACATATTCCTGAAGTACTTCCTTCTGAACTGATTGGAAAAAGAATGCGTCCCAGTTCCTTCATTCCTACGTGCTCTTGGAACGACCCCAGTCGTTAAGGAACACGCTTCAGAGGCCACGTTTCCTCAGGCCCTGCCCGCGCTGTGGCCCCGGCTCAGTCGCCGCTGCAGGGTTTGCAGGGTTTGCCACGCTCGCTCGGCTGTTTATTGCTCCCGCTGAGAAGTGGGAAGGGAACCAGCCTTAAGCTGGCCTCAGTTATGGGGGGGTGGAGGAGGGATGTGAGACCTGGTGGTGTGACTGCAGCCAAGGAAAACAAAGAAAGGAATGACCTTCACTTTGCCTTCGGTAAAACTTCAAAACGATGGTTCCCCTTTGGGTCCCATGAGAGTGTTTATCGCCACGGAACTCCTCTGCAGAACACGCTCTGCTTGTTAAAACATCCAAAGCGTATCAGTGGAGTCCCTTCTGTTGGGTTTGCCCGACAGACGGCAGAGGCCGTGCTGTGTGCGGGCGAGCTCCACCTCGCCGCGGCCATTCCCGGGGCGCCCCTTCGCTCACAGGAGTTGTCTACCTGCTGCAGCGTCTGTGAGCTTGGCGTTAACCCCCCCATCAGGGTGGCTCTTCAGCTTCTCTGCCACAGCCGCTGGGAAATGTGTTCTCCGACGGCTCAGGTTTCTCACCTTTTCCTCCTGATTCTCCTCCGATCTTCACTGTCCGAGGTGACGAGCCGCTGTAGCTGATGTGGCCTGTCATCACCTGTGTTAAATATTCTTTCCTCCATGGTACTGGGGGAGGGTTTTTGTGTTAGCCAAGGCTATCTTACATAGAAGGATGGCCACTGGGCCTGGAGTCAACTTTATTGAAGACTAACAAGTCCTTTCTATTTTAGCAAGAACCAGTCCCACTGGCGGCCTGAGCCTTCTGCTGGTGGTGGCTCCTGAGCAGCCTTGTGGGGTGACCACAGCTCTGTGCAGTCCAGGGCAGGAGGGGGGGGCAGCTGTCCCTCCATCCTGGGGGAGCTGGCAGCACCAGGAAAACCGGCTGCCTTAGGCTCCCACCCTGCTGCAGCTGAGCTAATTATATCTTCCCAATGAAGGGAGAAATTGGAAGGCTACATTTGCGTTGAAACCAGCCTGATACGGTGGGTCCAAAATTACTCTAGCATTTATGGTCTCTGAATTGTTTTAATTAGCAGCTCTGCAGTAGTCATCTTTTATTTTGTTTTTATTTCTTCCCACCACTGGTAAAAACTGGCATTTAGGGAACATTTTAACCTGATTTCTGTCACCTTCTGTCTATCACAGACCTAGGATCTCACTGTACGTGGTCATTACCATGCCACAGGGAATCCACTGAAATTTTCTAATCTGTACTTTGGTGGTTTTCACCATTAGGGTTGGACATGTGCTTAAAATGAATGTGATCTATTGGTGAATAGAGAGCTCTAACCTCTGAAATCCTAGGCTTTTGTCTTGTTCTCCTTTGGGCTTTAGTTTTATGTGGCGGTGGTAAGAAATTCTATCCTTTAATTCATCTTCCACTTAAGAAAAGAAAAGGAAGCAGAACAGGCAAATTGATTTAGGGTGAACATTGACCAAAGTAAATGAGTGTAACTTGGCTAAACAAGGCCATGGACAGAATCTTAAAGTGTTAAAATGATATTAGCAACAAAGTCCAACAAATCACTTTTAGGTGCTCAATCCTAGTTTAATAGCTGCAGAGAGAAAAGAAGATGGGTTGTGCTAGCAAAAAGACCTTACTTGAACTTCAGGACCTTTCCCTGCCCACCCTGGAGTAAGAGGGGTGATGAACTAGGAAATAAGCCCTGAACCACAGAGGAGAGGAGAAAGCTTAGATAATTTAAAAACTGGACAAGCACATCAGAAATAATCAAGAGGTAACTTTCATACCTCAGTCTTTGAAAAGAAGGTGCTTATTTTTTAAGGAATAGTTTCATGTAATATGAACTTTTCTAGATAAGATAGGTAGGTAGGTAGGCAGATTAGATAGATAAGTAGGTGGACAGAT